TTTTATTTATTTATTTAAATATTCTAAAATATACAAATAAAATTTTTATCGATTCGTTTATCATCCTCACAATAAAAATAAATAATAAATAATAACAATAATAATTAAAATGTTCATTAGTAGCGACATCTGTCGAGTATAACTAAAATTAAACTGTACTTATTTTATTATTTATCTAATATAGATTAATATAATAAAAATAAATTTATAAATAAAAAATAAAATATAAAATAATGTGAAATGTTAAATCTACTTAATAATTATATTTTATTTATTTTTTTAATGTAAAAATATGAAACATTTAAAAAAAAATTAAATATAATAATGTGATAAAGGAAAAATTTAAATACTTCAAAATAATTTATAAAATTAAGTTAAAAGAGCGAAAAATGCATAATTCAAAACTTTAATTTCATAAAATATAAAATATTCACAATAATTTTTTTTTATTTTTCATTTTAACACTCAAATTTATTTTTTAAATGTTCAGAGTTCATATTTAAATTAAATATATTATACTTTCTAATTTTTAAATAAAATTATAATTTTATAGTTGTCAAACTTAATCTTCATCTTCATCCAGATACCTATATATGTATGTATATTTATATATACAAAACTATTTAAACTTAAGTAAAATTTGTGATTTATAACACCAGTTATCATTGACCATTAATTTTCTTTAAACTCCAAGAGAGGTAGGTTCTCGCATTAAAATTTCCAATGAATCTTGCAGACTTAGACGTCTTTTGATTACAGTTTCGTTTTTCTAGTAAAGTTTACTTGAAACAGGACGTCTAGATTTCTTTCTTTTCTTTTTTTTAATTTTTTTTTAAGCGTAATACATTTACCGGCAAGCGAAAGATCTTATCTCTCTCCATAGTGCTATAGATCAGAGAAGACATTTGGCAAAGTCGTTGAGGTAAAACTGAGTATCTCAGACATATGATGCATAGAAATGCCTCTCTTAACTCTACCTTACTGCATCTATCTGAGTAGGAGAAAGTAATAATAAAAATATGTAAAAACTGGATAGAATATTAAATATATTGCTAGTTGAAGGATGAAGTAGAGATAAAATTGTTTGAGTTAGTTTTTTTTAGCCTTATTAATATTTATTTGCTATCTTAAAGTTGTATTTATGGTTATTATAGAGTTATTTTTGACAAATAGTTATATACATATATATATGAATAAATAAATTGAATAATTTTTTTTTTCTGGAAAGTGAATGGAGATTTTAGGTAATTTTGTAAAATTAATTGATTTTTTTTAGGATTTTGAATATTTTTTTAATATTAAAAAATTTATATATTTATAATCAGATTGCCTGTTGAATATTTAATGAGAAATTTAATAAAAAATTTGTTTATTTTCATTTAACATATAACCTTCAATAATTAACTTTCTTATTATGAACAAATTTAAGGTATTTATTTAAGCAGTTAGTTTTTTACAATTTTTATTAAAATTAATGTATTATAATTTTATAAAATAGAAAAAATTAAATTCATTTTTTACTTGCTACACTTTTTACTTTTATTTTATAAGGTATATATTTCTTTAATTTAATTTTATTTTTTATAGTTATAAATTTTATCAGTAAACAATTTTATACTTAATTTTATTTACAGATTTTTGTTTATATCATGATAAGTATACAAGGTATACAAAAAATAATAATTTTTATAGTTTCCTAATTCGTCGATGGATGGCGCCACATTATAATAATTAATAGGCATTGTTAACATCTAGAGTAACTTAATAAAATAANATTTAATATATTAAGTTTTGATATTTTAGCTTTCAATTTTATAAAATTTAATTTTATTTGTTAAAACTAATAAAATGTATTCAAATAAAATATTTTGTTACTAAAATTTTAAATTCTACATTTAATAATTTATTTCTGCTTTTCATTTGTTCAGAAATAAAATAAAAAAAAGCTTTCCAACAATTCAATATTTCCTCTATAATGCAGTAGATTCTTCCTTTAATCCTTCTATCTTTAATCTGCTGTCGTTCAATCTAGGATCATGACAAAACCCACTAACTGAAAGGTTTATCTGCTCATCTTATAATCTTTCCTAAAACAAGAAATTCTTACATGTTCAATTTAATTTTAAATCCCACAGATAATATTTATTAATTTATTAATATCATTTATTAGTAAGGTCTTTTTTCAAAAGAATCTGATAATAATTTTACTTTTCTAATCTTTTATTGTTTGTAAAGACAATCATAACCTCTGAACAAACAATGGCTTCGCTGTATTCTGAGACTAATGTTAAGATATATCCTATCATCACTTGCAAATATTGATCCAAGATATAAGAACTTATCTTCATGTTCAATCTTTTTCATAGAAGATCTATTAAGATTTTAATTTGATAAGTTCATTCTATTTAAAAATTTATGTATTAAATCGTTTTTATTTTACAATTATATTATTATTATTATTAACGAGTCTCGTTAAAGTTGTTGAAAAATACAATTATTATTATTATTTATTTCTTTAATGAAAAGAAATGATAGAAAAAATCGGCTTCACTGCTTAACTTATGATTTTGCGGTAAAACCAACTTTACAGGTATTTATAAAATTTATAAAATTAAATTTTGTGATTAATTCGTAATGAATCGTTACTATATTATGTCAAATGAGATAGTTTAATATGAAGGAAATAATTTTAATAAAACATAATTCACGTTATACAAGGAAGTTGAATGGGAATGGCTATTTTTTCGTTTCATTAACAAGAATGATTTTTTTTTTTTTATCTTCAGTTGACTTCGAACGACAAAACTCTGTCTCACGTCTTTTCCTTATATTGTGCACTATATATAATTAACTTTATCTTATCGGCAAGTTTCAGTTGAAGAAAAAAAAACACTCAAGCAGAAAGAAGGAAACGTCGTTTTTTTTTTCTTTCTTCTTTCTCTTTTTCGTCTCTCTGTGCTATTGATCAGCTAGGAAACTCCAGATTTGTGCCATCAGGATTAACAACGCTGTACCCTACAACAGCAACGGACTTCGGCAAACACAGAAATTAGATAGCTACGGAAAACAAATAGGGCACGTCTCGAGCCTTTTTTTTTTCCTGTTTTATTTTTGCACCGTGTTACGTTTAATCAGTTATGTATGGATAAAATATCGCATCATAGCAAACGTCATATATATACATTAGCTTAATATACTAGTTTTTCATATATCAATTATAATTGCACAACAACATAGAATTATATCGATATTATTTCGATTATTAATGCATTTGTCAAGAGCAATAAAGTTTAATATCAACATAAAACGAAATTATTGGTAAATATCATTATTATATTTATAGTTGCAGAATTAGTTATATTATTGATCTAAGTTAATTTGAAGCATTCGCTATTTGCATTGAGAAAATGAGTAGTTTTGTTATGCATTTTGCTAGCTCTCATTAGACGAAATTCTCAAACCGCATTGTTTATTTATGAATGTACTTTTTTTAATGGAGGGTCGATTCATTGTACATAAACATACTGATTGCTAACAACGACAATAACTAGAAGAACTGACCAACAAGTGTAAATAGCCACAATGTCCAATAACCATTAAGGCAATACATGCAGTGTGAGTGTATGGAGAATGGCAAACCACTTCTCGTTGCGAGCAAATTAGTCGACTCTTACACAAAATATTGTAATTCATTATGCAATGTCCTATTTCTATTTATTCCTTATTTGTCTAAACCGTATTTATTTTTTATGAAATTTTCACCTGCATATATATTTACATTTATATATATTTATATATACATAATTAAAAATTAAATTATTACGTTAGATAATTATGTAATTTGCTTTGATTATCTTTAATATAGTAAATAAAGTAAAAATTTAAATTGTAAATACGTTCTTTGCATTGTTTATAACTTCAGATTTGGNCAAATAGGGCACGTCTCGAGCCTTTTTTTTTTCCTGTTTTATTTTTGCACCGTGTTACGTTTAATCAGTTATGTATGGATAAAATATCGCATCATAGCAAACGTCATATATATACATTAGCTTAATATACTAGTTTTTCATATATCAATTATAATTGCACAACAACATAGAATTATATCGATATTATTTCGATTATTAATGCATTTGTCAAGAGCAATAAAGTTTAATATCAACATAAAACGAAATTATTGGTAAATATCATTATTATATTTATAGTTGCAGAATTAGTTATATTATTGATCTAAGTTAATTTGAAGCATTCGCTATTTGCATTGAGAAAATGAGTAGTTTTGTTATGCATTTTGCTAGCTCTCATTAGACGAAATTCTCAAACCGCATTGTTTATTTATGAATGTACTTTTTTTAATGGAGGGTCGATTCATTGTACATAAACATACTGATTGCTAACAACGACAATAACTAGAAGAACTGACCAACAAGTGTAAATAGCCACAATGTCCAATAACCATTAAGGCAATACATGCAGTGTGAGTGTATGGAGAATGGCAAACCACTTCTCGTTGCGAGCAAATTAGTCGACTCTTACACAAAATATTGTAATTCATTATGCAATGTCCTATTTCTATTTATTCCTTATTTGTCTAAACCGTATTTATTTTTTATGAAATTTTCACCTGCATATATATTTACATTTATATATATTTATATATACATAATTAAAAATTAAATTATTTTTAAATTTTAAAGAGAAGATACAGAAAAAAATATTCAAAATTATTATTATACAAATATAAACGAAAATAATATAATTAATTATCTCATTTTTAATTAAAATATATTTATGGATTTTCCATTAACTTTAACAATAACTTATGTGATAGTTAATTTAATTAATTTAAAAATGTCTACTTAAATACATTTTATACAAATTAAAGCTTGATATTAGGAGTTTAAACTTAATATAAATATATATACATTATAGTTTTTTGAAAAAAAAAAGTTAAAATATTCATCCGACTTTTGAAAATAAAATAAAATAAAATAAAAATAATATATATAAAACTTGTTTAAATTTTAAATTGGATAAAATGATGTTGGAGAAGCGCGATCTTCCTCGTGCATCCTCTTCCAACAAGGACAGGCGCGAAGGATGATGGGTAACGACGATCACTAACCAACATGGCCGACCAAGGGAGAGTGCAGTAACGATGTGGGTGAGTAAATTATCGTCTTTGTTGCATTCATCTCCAGTTTAATTATTACATTTATAATTACTTAAGAGTAAATGAAGTTTTTCGCGAATATTTCGCGTTAGGCCGACTTCTTATCGTGTAGATTGAGTTTAGAAAATTGGTTGACAACCTTACCCCCAACCGGATCAGAACTGGAAAGTGGATTATGGATGAGGAGTGAGAGGAAGGGGACGATCTTCGTCTTTTGATTGTAGTTTATTGCCTCCGAGAAACGTATTTGCCTCTTTCAACCCATACAATGTTTTGTTTTATATTTTCGTCAATTTCACTCCGTTTGTTTTACTCTAGCGAAAAACGTGCTTTTTTGATAAATGACTTTTCTCCTTTTTACAATTTTCCCTCAAAACAAATGCGAATATTTCAATATATTTTATATATAAATACTTTTTTTTTTTTTAATAATGTTAAGTTAATATAATTAATATTTCTTTGGGATTACGAATTTTTTAAATGAAATTTCTTCTTAAAATTTAATTAATTAAATTGATTTATTTATAATACAATAATTCGAATAATTTAATAGAATTAATACTTATGCTTTTAAAAAAGGTTTCAAATTATTATTATTATTATTTTGTTTAAAATTTTAAAATGCTTTTTGAATATTTATTTTTATGATTTTATGGTTATTTTTCTGTAATTAATAAATGAGTCTTGTGTAAATTAAGCTCTTATATATGTAATTTTTTTAATTTATTTTCCTTTTTCAGTGTTTTAAAAATAAAATAAACTTTTTATAATATTTGTACATTATTCTTTTAAAATTAAAATGATTTTTCCTTAAAGAAAATAATTTTATGTTATTTAAATATACAAATTTTAAATTAATTAAAGAAAGGGAAAATATTCAATTTTTTTTAATAATTTATTAATAACCAATTTGTTCAATTAATTTTTTTTTAAATCTAAATCATCCTACTTTATACTTTATAAATTCATTTTTTTATTTTGGATATAATAAAAATATATTAAATTTAAAAAATTTATATATTTAAATTTTTTTTCAAACCAATAAAACAGAAAAAAGTAGGGAAAAATTTATAATAATTACGATATTAAAATTGCAGAAAGCAGTACCAAAATATTTATTTATGTATAAAACAATTAGATGAAAATAAAGATTTTACTTTTATTTCTTTTGAACTTATCATGTATAATTATAAAAAAAATTTTTTTTAATGGAGAATACTTCTGAATTTATACATATATTTTTTTTATTTTGTTTTAAATGATTTTAATTTCTATTAAAATACTGTACTTGTATTATTCTGTCATAAGTAATTAATTTTTATGTCTGAATTTATTTTAATTAATTATTTTATATTTTTTATAATATGAAAAATTTTAGGAATGTTTTATTCAAATTTTTACCCATATTTTAAAAATATGTAAATAGCTCAAAAGTCAGTTAACTGTTGTAAAGACTAAATTGCTATCGTGTTCAAATCTATATCAATCATTTAAAATTTTTTATTGTTTTCACCAGTTTTATAAAAGAAATACATATTGTTTTAAATGTGATTTTTTTTTATTTATATTCAGAGAATATACTTGAAACCAAGGCTGCTGAGAACTTGTATGGGGCCTGACAGTAGAGAAGGCCTTTTTTTTACCATAGTTTTGGAACAAATGAAATATGTAGAATGTTTCTTTTATTAATAAAAATACAGCCTTAAGCATCTTATTTTTTGTTAGTGAAAATAACATTAATTTATTTGGGTAGGAACCACTATGGACCCCTAAGTTTTCTCTGGGTCTGGAGAACATTTTTATCTCTACACCTCTTGAAAACACATGAAACAAAATATGGTTAACTTTCTTTTGGTACTCATGTTGCGAATGTATGTACTGTACAATTCTTAGGCATGACTCTATATGATTAATATGACTTTTTAAAAATAAAAAGTATAAAACTAGTTCAATAAAATGATTTCAANTATAAAATTTCAAAAATGAGTAAAAAACATTTCTAATTAGAAGGCTTAATTTAACATTAAATAAATAAACTTCATCTTCAAATGTATCATTCTTTGTTGAAATGAAACAAAAACAAAGACTTTTTATTATATTTAAAACAAATTTTAAATATGTTTGAGAATGAAGCATAAAACTAAAAATATTTATGTAATGTGTTAAATTAAGAGTTGTGCTATTTAAAAGTTATTTTTTATTTAATTTTATTCTATTTTCAATAGGTGAAAAAAAACAGATTAACTTATTAAAATGTAAATAAAAATTATTAATATTAATAAATTGTTAAATCATTAAAATATTAAATGTTTTCAAAAATAGATTGAATAATTTATAAAAAGTTGATGTTAAAAAAGCACTGCTAATAATTATTTATTTAACAATTATTATAAAAAGTTATGCTTGCATTTATAGATACATTTACTGTATTTTATATATTATCTAGCATTATTTATATTACTGTATTTTACTGTATTTTATATATTATCTAGCATTTATTATAATATTTGATGTTTGTTATTATTGAAATAAGAATTGAAGAGTCAACATCTTTTAAAAACAGAATTTTTCAATGAATAGCAAATGCAGATTAGGATTATTTAATTTGTCAAACTATATGAGAAGGTCTTTAATATATTACTTTGTATGATATAATGGTTTAGAGTGCCAACAATATTAAATCCAAGTTGTAATTGAAATGATAAATTTTTTTAATAAAACAAAACTGTGCTTTACTTATAAATACAGTATATATGTATGCTTTGAAATAATAAAATAGGAGTATGCATTTATTATATTTGGTAAGGTGATAACATAGTTTAAAATTGCAAGTCCAAATTCCATTTTGGGCCATATCTTTCACTAATTAATTAATGCTAATTATTTAATTATTAAAATTGTTAATAGATAGTAATTCACCTACATTAGCATCATATTCTTCCAATTTAAATAATAGCTTAAATTAAGCTAAATTAAACATTAAATAAATGTTTATTATTACTTTTATTAACTAATGGCAATATTTCTTTAGTAGTTATTGCAATCAATTACAGTAAATTATAGTTAAAATATATTTATTTATATTTTTTTTATATTAATAAGTACAACAATTATTATTTTAGCATTAGCTATTTATTAGTATTATTAAAATATTCATAGAAGAATAAATATTTTAAAAAAATTTTTATCTAATTTTGAATGAAGACTGATATATTTCGCCTCCTTAAGATGTATAAAATTTCAAAAATGAGTAAAAAACATTTCTAATTAGAAGGCTTAATTTAACATTAAATAAATAAACTTCATCTTCAAATGTATCATTCTTTGTTGAAATGAAACAAAAACAAAGACTTTTTATTATATTTAAAACAAATTTTAAATATGTTTGAGAATGAAGCATAAAACTAAAAATATTTATGTAATGTGTTAAATTAAGAGTTGTGCTATTTAAANGATTGTTTATCGAATACACTGGAATCACTTCTAAAGCACCCGAACTTGCTTTGCTAACTACAGGCGAAAGTTTACAACTACAATAGATCAAATATATATATGTTATTAATAATATTTCATAAATTAGACCTGAATAAATTTAACTGAAGTAAGACAAAATTATAAGGAATAGAAAATAAAACCGTAAAGTGCTGGCTGGATTGCTAAAGTGGCTCAGATGTTGACCTACTGCTCTGAAGGACCAGGTATCAAAGACTTGGACTAACATTAGCGAGATTGCGGCCGAAGTTTTCAACGCGTAAACGTATACGTCGGACGTTTAGCGCCGCTTTCCTGTAAGTCTAGAAGTTTGACAATGGCGTTTGGAACGTCAGTGGAGTCATGCTTGATGTTCCAAATGCCATTGTCAAACTTCTAGGCTTACTTAAAGGTGGTGCTGAATGTCCGACATACACGTTTTCGTGTTGAAAACTTCGGCCGCAACCTCTCTTTTAAGTAAATAAATAAAATACATGATGTTTTAGAGTGTGGGAACACATTTCATCCCTACCACTAAAGAAATTCAATCACTCAATCTGTAAAGGACCTTGTGAAGGCATTCTTCTGCAGACCATCCAGCTGCCTAATATAGGCCTGGCTGAACCCACAACGGTCCTGAATAAATGCCCCTCTTAGTGCTTTTATTCGGGTTACCTTTATGTGATATTACTTTGTTCAATTGGTTTTTGCAAAAATACCTAATCCCAAATATTAAAGTCTTAGTTTCCCAAGTTAATTTTGTCCAATTATTGTAAAATTAATTAACGTAAATAATATTTTAAATTCATTAATAAACAATACCTGTTCCCTTTCACAACACATACTTTATCAATTCCAAAATAATATGAAGATCTCAGAACCGCTCCAAAATTCATAGGATCCTATGTTTAAATAACAACATGTTACTTTATAATTTGAAATAATACAACGTATCATTAAAACAGATTTATAAATCATATCAGAAATTGAGCTGGAATCATGTTACTAATCAAAGAATCAAGCCGAATTTATTATCAGGTTACACCTTGGGCACGTGGCTGTCGCCAGTCAACGAAGCAAATGATCAACGTGGTTATGTCTTCTAAATAAATTGGTTTGAAAGAAAACGTGGCCCTGACAACATAATGTGCAATGTAACTACACTTTAAATGGGAGTTGCAGGTTTGAGTCACATTCCAGAATATTCTAAGCTAATTAATTGCATTCTAATTCTGTAAATTTTATAACATATCTAATAATAATCTAATCAGAGAGACATTCAGAGGGGTGCTGTAGTGTCTGTCATAAGCATCCCTTGACATGAAAACAATAGTTTTGTTATTTTAAAATAAAAATACTGTAAATATAATGCATATCAGATGACTTTGATGGCAGAAAGCAATTTTATATAAACAGAGAAAAACAGAAAAATTTAAACTGATATTTCTCTGATACATGATTAAAAGTATGAAGCACAGACTAAAGATAATTACATATGAATTCAAAATAACTGTAATGTT